TTCTTTCAAGTGATGTTGTGTGTGAAATCAGTCTTTTTTGTAGGGGGGAGCTAAGACAAGACAGGTAATCTGTTGATCACCCAGAAAGTTGATGCTGTAAGAGAGTGGAGCACTGGGGGGACTGTACAAAGTCAGGGCAGCAGATGAAGGAGGGATATGCACAGCTGCCGCCAAGCTCTGCCTGAACTTCCAGGCACTAATTCAGGGAAGAAAAGCTGCAGAAACACTGACTGCTCATCCCCTTGGCTAAACCGAATCCCTGTGGTGTAGGAGGGGTTAGCACAGTCCAAGTCATGCACAGAAGGGCGGGGGAGGCAGCTGTGAAAGGCAGAACAGGGTGTCAGAACCAGCCCTGCCCTGGCCTGTGGCTCTGTCCCTGTGCTGCAGCAGGGCTGGCAGGGCACTTCCACCCCTCCATCCCCAGGAAGGGATCAGCTGGGGACAGCTCCAGCAGGGCCAGCAAACGGAGCCAGGAGGGGACAGGCGGGGTGTCCCTGTGTGTGGCACTGCCACTGAGGCACCACCAATTCCCACACAGCAAACACGGCCAGGCAGATAAAAGGAGGATTTAGGGAGAAGCCAGGGAAAGCTTCCCCAGAATAAACACTGTAAACAAGAACCCAGCAGGAAAAAAGGCAGGGAAGTGGCTACACTTCCAGTGTTGCAGCACACTGGGGGTAAATGTTGCAGTTCCTTCAGGATAAATGAACTTGCAATTACGTGACTGGATCTGAAGTCAAGGCTTTGCTATTATTGTTATTATTATTGTTATTGTTATTCCTATTGTTATTGTTATTATTATTGTTGTTGTTGTTGTTATTGTTATTATTCTATTATTTTATTATTATAATATTATTATTTTTATTGAAAGCTTTGAAAGACTCTTGCATTTGAAATAAAAGTAGCCCTTCCACAGAAAGAGATGCTATACATTTTCTACATTGCCAAATTAATCTATTTAAATTGTACTGCACAGTTCTCTCTACCACAAATAACAATACCTTCCATTATCCCCTCTTGTGAAATCAAAATGCTGCTTTAAAGTGTCCCCAGTAAGAGTAATCTGGTTTGCTTACTTAGCTTAGGATTCTTTTATGACAAGTAGTCTAAATCTTCGTTTGATGGGAATATATTCACCTGCTACAGCGAACTTCTTCCAAAACTTGAAGCTTTATGGTTTTTGGCAGACTTCTCTGTAATACAAAACTTCTTACACTCTTTAGTAGAAAACAGTATCAGCTCCAGGCAAAGTTAGAAAATAAAACGAGATGACATCACTTCATCCAGAAGAATCTGAGAGTTTTCACAGATGAGGCTCTGCAAATTTAACATTTCATTTTACTCTCTGAGCTTAGTTCCCTGAGCCATCAGTCCCTGCTCCCTGGATTTCTTTTTCACCTGCACATCTGTCCAGCACATGCACACCCACAGCCTCCTCTCGAATTTTGTGCCACCTGGAACAAACTGCCAAGATGCCCCTCAGGTCACAACAGCAAGGAGCCGGTATGGATGACAATAGTCATGTAAAAATGGTCCAAATTTTCTTTATTGTCTAATTTTTTAAGTAGAAGAACAGTTCTAGGCTGCCTAAATATAAACCATTATCATTCTGACTGGAAATAACCTACTATAGATGCCTTCTATTGTGTATGAGTGTTCCCTTCCTAGGGATTTTTTTTTCCTACACTTAATGGAGCTGCTCCTGTATGGAATATTTCCCTCCTGTTCTTGGATTATTGATTTGGACTTGTTTGGTCCATCTTGTTATACTTTACAGAGTGAATGGTAACCTGAGAAATTATTGAAAAGATCAGGGCACTGCCTCCTGAAAGAGGAGAAAAACTAAACTGCTTCCGGTATAAAATAACCTAAAGCACAACTTTTTAGAAAAATTGACACTGATGAAATAAATATGAGAAAAATATGCTAGATACCTCAGCCATCATATTTACAGGAAAATATGAGAGGCTGAAACAAACTGCTCTGCATTCCGTGCCAAAAGGATTGCTACTCATTAACACACAGAAATGCTGATGGATAATTAAGTAATTTGGGAGACAGACCATGCATATGGGAAGTATTTTTGGTATTTTATGACCTCCTTCACTGACCAATGTAATTACTGTGCTGCTGACTAATGCAGCAACATAAACCCTGTCAACATCTCTATTATGAAATTTATTTAAATTCTAAATGACCTTCCCTTTTATTTCTTACACTGGAATCAAAATCACGCTTGTTAAATTGTTCTATTCCCTCCAGTGCTTTTAAAGAGAAAAAGAATATGGACACTTTATTAAGTAATCAATTTCTAAGCGACCTGGCACACGCATCAGACTAGGAAAATGAGGATGGGTACCTGAAGAAAAGAACTATGAACTATTTGGTCAATTAGGCTGGTTTAGGAACCCAGTCATGTGACAGGGGCAGTTCAAACCCTGGGAACCTGTGCTCTCAGAAGAAGTTCATGTTCAAGTCATACAGATTGCAGGAATATGGATCTGGTTATAATTACACATTCCAATTTAGGACAACATTTAATCACTTGCAGGTACTTAAGCACTTTCTTGACTAAATGCAAACTGTTGTTTCCTGCATTAGGGATTATAACTTCAGGTCATGGCTGGGATTTCAGATCTAAGTGATAGCAAGTAGGTCTCAGATGAAGGTCTAGAAGAGGGATTTAGATGCTAAAAGAGCTTTTAAAATCTGAGCCTAAAAGAAGAAAGCATTTCCTTGATAAATATGAAACTATAAACGTGAGCAGTGTGTAAAGCTTACAGGTTGGACTCTTTCTTGAATATGATCCTCTCTGGAAGAAAGTGGACTTTAGCTGGAGGAAACCTGTGGCTCACCAAGCCAGTTAAGGTGAATTCTCAGGAGAGATATCTCCAATTGGCAGTGCTTCCTGCAGAACACCCAAATCCCCCCCATTCCTCTGCAGCCCTACTTTGCAGCATTAGCTCAGGCCAAATCCAGACCCTGCTCACAAACTCTGTGTGGCTCCTGGCAGGGGGGAAAACTGTTCACTGCAGTGGTGACTGAAACGCAGCCAGACTTCAACAGGGCAGGTAACAGCAACTGAAACACAGCCAGACTTAAGCAACAGGACAAGTGACACTCTTGCCAAGTGACAGAACCCTGTGGGTTCCCAGCTGTCCCTCCCTCTCTCCGCCTCAGCCAACCCATCTCTTCCCCTCACCAAGCACTCCCAGCAGCTCACCCGAGCCACACCCATGGCTGTGGGCTCCTGCACATCAGGAGAAGGAGATTCCCAGAGCAGGAGGTGTTTGGGCTGCCTGAGCACCAGTGTGAGCAAGCAGAGGGAGTGGGACAAGCTGGGACAGCCAAGGCTGTGTGGGGTAGAGCTGCTGCTGAACCCTTTCCCCACCCTAACACACAGCTCTGCACTGCTTATTCACCATTTTGTGCCAGTTTGGGCACCTCCGTGCCACTCTGGGAACATGTGGAGTGATGGGGTTCCACGTGTTATGGAATATGAGCACAGGCATGCAAGTCCCAATTATCATGATGCATCTCTAAGTTAAACTGCTTACACCAAGAGCTGTTTCACTGGATGAGGAGGTGCAGGTGTTTTGTGGCCAACAGAGAATCCCAAAGGGGGGAAGCTGGCTTGGGCCTCTGCTAAATGTGCTGCAGGGCTAAAAAAGGGGCGTAGCTCCCAAATGGTCAGTCCAGCACCATTCCTGAGCTTGACACTCATTTTAAATCAGCATGCAATTTAAAAATAAGTATTACAAATGAAGGTTATCTTACAAGGAACGTATAATTTACATTTCTAAACTCACACTCTTTGTTTTGACAGAACCCCTAAAGTTCCTGCTCTGCAAGGTCAGTGGACATTGTTTATTGCACGTTTCGTGCCCTCGCAGTGGTTTTTAAATCCTATAGATGTTTAAAGAAATGCATCTATTTTCTTTGATCTTCTGCAACCATGCAAGTATTAATATACACAATGCTGACAGAGAGACACTGCATAAAATGGTTATTTTTAGAATTTCCTCACTTCATAAAACAGTACAATAGCTAGGATGCCACAAATAACTCACTATGAATTCTTCTTAAAAGCAAACAGAGGAAGTGTGAGTTTAGAAAGAGGCAAGGACTTCAGAATATGCAATTTATTAAAATACTAGATTTAGTAGTGTAAGTAAAAATATATCTAGAAATACTGGTTTTGCTTTGGGTCAGTGAAAATATAAACTAGATTTTATTCCATAGGTCAGTCTGAAACTTGGGCAGAAATGTCTAATGCTTAATAACCATCGGTGAGTCCAAGTTTGGTCTGAGATAAAAAGCAACAAGAGCAGTGGACTGTTACATTTGTGACCAACTTTCTGACTTCTGGAAGCATTTATTTATGCTGTGGCAAAAGTGGAGTTTAGTTGGCTAGTGGTTTTTGTTTCAGATTCCCACTCTATTATCTTGTGGGTTTAGGAACGTTTCAGCGTCTCTCCTCTATCATCTGTTCTGTCAGTGAAGAAGCAATGAAGTCACAGCAAGTTTCAAACCACTGGCCAGAAGTTGTCCTTGTCTGCTTTTCCCCAATTCTTAGGACAACTAAAGAGCTTTTATATGAAATGGAGACCCAGCCATCTGATTACAGCTGGCTTGGGATGGGACCTAAGGACCAGGAAAGGCAGCAAAAAAAGTAAGTGTGCTGGAAATGGTTTCTGAAGGACTATCAAAAATTTGTTTTGGGGCTTTCTTGAAGCATTACCATGCTGAGTTCTGCTGTTGTGTGTCTGAAGAGTAACTTCAGCTCTCTGTAGATCTGCACCCTGACTTTGGCCTGGAAGACTCCCACATCTCCTAAAGACCCCTACCAAGAAAATGTATGAGCAGCTTCTAATTTCCCTCTGGCCAGATTTCACAAGGTGTTTTGGAGACATCTAATAAGCCCCAGCCAGAGATTCTCAAACTCACTTGTGCCCCAAGCCAGTGATTTTATAGGCACTTTTTGTCAGACTCCAACCTACCTGTAGTGCTGCAGTTGTGATTCCAGCTGCTGGATGTGTATTTGCAGATGTGTCACCTCGTTAGCTCTCACTTCCAGCTCCTTCACTTTGCCAAGACTGTTGAGGACAGCCTGTCTGGCCTCTTCCACCTTCCTCCTCATCTCTGCCTGCTCCCTCTTCAGGTGACGGTTGCAATCTTCCAGGCTGACCAGAGCTTCCTGAGAGCTCTTCAGCTCCTTCTCCAGCTCCTGACTGAACCTGATGGCTTCTTCAAACTGCCCATCCCCGGAGCTCCGGATGAGCTCCATTTCCTCCAGGGCACTTTGGAGGTACTTGGACTGGGAGTGCTTCTGTGTTCATGCTCTCTGTGAAGCAGGATCCTTCTTCTCTATGGCTGGCATGGCTCTTCCGCAGTCCCACCTGTAATGACCAGGAGCACAAAGCAGGGAGAAATTGATGGGGTTTAATGAAGACTGAAAGTGGCTGGACTGTGCTTTGCTTTTGTTAAAAAATACTTTCCAGAGATTGTTTCCAATCTCTGGAAAGTATTTTTTAATACCTAGCTATGCATTTAATTTTCACACTACACACTACCATGTTATTGCACAAGTTTCTGTATGGCTTTAATGTCATTACTGTGGTGTCTACTCAGGAGTTAAGTAGTCTGCTGAAAAAGATATTTCCAATGAAGTTGTGTTCATGAGAAGAGAGCAGGGAGCAGCTGGGGGTGTTCTGGAGCTCTCCTCTTTGTCGTTTTCATTCTTCCTGGGACCTCTGACTGGTGACTTGGTGTTTGCTGATGATTTCCTTTCCTATTTTTAGATGAAAATGGTAAAAGTGCCTCTGCCCTGCCTTGCTGGACATTGTGAAGACAACAGTAATCTACTGCAAGTGGAAGTGTCACAGGTGGAGCAGAGTTCTGTGAGTGCTGTGTTAGTATCAAATCACACCTGGCCAGACCTGCCAGAACAATGGCTCCATGCTGCCCCCCTGCTCTGCCTGTTCCACACTATTTCATGCCAGAGGAATTTAACTGCTGTTAAGTGTGTATGGCCTTTGTCCGGCACAAAAAGGGATTCCGGCCCAGCGGCCAGGTGCCACCCTGCTCCGCTTGTCTGCCAAGCCTGCGCCCCAAGTGTGCTGCTCCTTTCTTAACTCATTTCTCCCTTCTGCTTTCTCTTTAACACAAGCGACACAACAGCATCGCACGATCCGCTTTGACAAGCAGCGCTTGTGAACGAGTGAGTGGTGCTTGCAGTAAATTAAAAACCCAACGTGTGTGAAAGCCGAGCTTCTGTTCGCTCAGACCTCCTCGCCTGTGTAGATGATGTGACTTTATGGTGTTGCTGTGTGGGTTTTAAGAGGTCTGGGATAGAGGTGAGGAAGCGTTAAACTCCTTCAAAGGAGCTGCCCAAAGCAGTGCCTTCAGTCCCTCTTGGCCTGGGGAGTAGGACCGGCGCTGTTGAACGCAGGCAGCAGCACGAGCAGGGCTCCTGCACCAGCAGGGACATGCCACGAGCCAGCAGGGACCGTGGCACCAGAGGGGACTGTGGCACCAGAGGGGACCGTGGCACCAGCCGTGCCCAAGGTCTGAACAGGGTGGCAAAGTCAGGTGCTGCTAACAGGCTGCATTAACAGCCCAGGCAAGGTGTGGTGAGCATCCACCAGTAGTTTGGGAGCCATCCAAGGAGTCCTGTCAAGAGCAAATTGTTCTAATATTCTCTAGGACAAAAAAGGAGCAAACCAATCTGGCTGATATGTGAGGAAAGAGAGTTCAAGTTCATTTAAAGCATTGCTCATTCAGGGTTGGCTTTCTTTTTGAGTGAACTGATGCTAAGAAATATTTTCTCACATATGGTGGGGCTTCTCTGCCAACAGGCTTTGATGAGAAATTTCTGACCACATTTTTTTTGCTCTTTCAGATCAGTCAAGAACCTGCGTAGCTTTGTTGAGGAATGGAGAACGGTTTGTAGCTCAGGAAGAGCCTAACATTTTAGCTCAGGAGGAAGGTAAGGCAAAGGTTTAGAAGCTTTCCCCTCCTGGAAGGACACACTTTGAGAGGAGTCTGTGAGGAGAAGTCCTCTCAGCCACTGCCAGGGCTGTCTGCCTCCTCTGCAGGCTCAGGATTCTGGGAGTTCCACGAGCCTCAGCTGCCAGTGAATTTTCCTCTGAATATTTCTTGTTGTGCAGTACACAGGGAGTGTACTATATTTTGTGTTAGATTTCCTTCTGAGCTTTGAGGTAAATCTCACTAATTGTGCTGATTTTTACATGCAGATGAACTTTTTATGGATAGGAAGGAAAAGGGAAGAGGTACCATGGAAAATTAATTGCTCAAAATGTGAGTGGCCCAACCACATTAAAAATTAAATCTAAACTGAAGTATTTTTTATTTTTTTTTCCTGGTAGGTGGGGCAAAACATGCAGTGCAAATAAAGTCTATAAGAGATGCAACAAGCTGCCAAGTGTATGACAAGCAAAGTGGCAAACGATGAGACAGGGCATGGGAAGAATCTTCAGCCCTTCCTGTTGAAGATCCAAGAGTATGAAAACTCTAGCTGTTGCCCATAGGTAACACATGTTATTTGTAGAGGAGAGCAGGTGCCCCAAGCCGTTGGTGGCCCAAGCCCTGCCATGGCTGGCCCAGATCCAGTCCTAGCTGGACCAGGGCAGTGGGTTGGGGAGGGGAGGAGGTGGGGGGATCTCGGGAGGCTTCCGCTTCACGGCCGGGATGGGGGGCCGTGGGGGAGGCACGGAGGGCTGGTGCTCTGCTTTCTTGGGCATCTGCAGCTGCTGCTGAGGCCATGTCTGAGAGCTGCCAAACTCGATGCTCTCTGGGCTCCCTGGGGGCGAGGGAGAGTCACGCCTTCTCGGCCGGGATGCTGGAGCTGCGGCAGCGCGACTGCAGAGAGAGGAGGAGGCTGAGGCCCCAGCTGCCAGTGGCACACAGGGAACTTCCTGCACAGCAGGGCCCAGAGCTGGCAAGGCTCCCCAGCACGGCTGGAGCTGCTGGCACAGCTGGGCCCAGCTGGACAGCTGCCCCTCAAGGCCCCGGCCAGCAGGGCACGGCTCTGGGCAGGGTCCCTGGCCAGGAGCGGGCCCCAGAGCGCCTCTGCCTTTCAAGGGCAATCTTGGCCCTGCTCTTTCTCCTCCCCACCTTCCTCTGCCTCTGCCCCGTGCCCCTGGGGCTGCTCTTGGCCAGGCAGCCTCAGTGGGAGCCAGCTCTGGCTGCAGCCCCAGCGGGGCCCCCAGGACAAGGCCCAGCAATTGAGAGGCCAATGGAAGCCCTGGGCAGCAGCAGAACTGTCAGCAGTTATTTGGAGAACCATGGACTGGCCACAACTCCACTGCAGCCTCACTGGGAATGTTCCCTGACTATCAGCAGCATTTAAAGAAGCTGGAAGATAGAGATCAGCAACAACTTCCTGTTTTTTTTCCTTCCACCACCGGGACCCAACATAGCACGACACCATGCAAAGTGGCACAGTGAACAGTGTCACCACCGTGCCTACCAGAAATTCTGTAAGAAATCCACCAATAAATTCCAGGTTACCTCTGTTTATTGCACACTACAGTTTCCTTCATTTTTTCTGAATACCTGGAAGTTTCTATATATAGCAATGCCCTAGAGAATCTCTGATTCTTGTCAGTATTTTTTTTTTTCTATTGAGACATATGAAACAGCCTTATTGGTTTTTATTTTGGCAGGCTTGGTTTTTTCTTTGCATGATGGTTTACTTATTATCTATATGTAAACTTCTTTATATTTATGGTTATTCATTCCCCAAGCAATTATTTTGACAATCTGTCATTCACTTCTTAGTTAATGTTCCATAGATGAACAGTTTGGACTCTCTTTTTATAGGAATATAAAGATCTCAGAAAGCTGAATTTTTAATTCTGATGACACTCTTTCGCCCACTTCCAGCTATAACAGTGATCCCTTTTGAAACACCACTGAGGACATCTGGAGTTTTTGGGAAATGCTTGGCTTAACCTGGGTATTGGATTATTATTTTCAGTGCTATAAACCTGCATTGCTTCAAGGGTCACACCACGGTCGTGATCTGTGGCTCAATGCATGGATGCCTGTCTGA